CACCCCATGAAGCCCCACTACTCAAGCAGAAGGGTATCGTCGACCAACCACTACAGGAACTTCCCGACCACGCCACCATCCTAGGCCCTGATCTCAACCCTTCGCGCAAGATCATTGCCGACGCACTTGCTCAGGTTGCTAACGACGTTAAGACTAAAGCTTACGGGGTGTGCACCGCTCTCTTTATCATCGACAGCCTCGTTCTGACGCATCTCTTTTGCAGGCCTGGCTCGGCTACTACAAGGCCTTCTGCAGACCCCTAGGTTGGTCTCCCACGGCGCTTGTCCAGGCTGCCAACAAGTTCGCGGCGAATGAACTACGCTACGTCAGCGAGGGCGCCGACGCTGGGCTGCCACCGCCTGTGCACAAGATGGTCATCGGCAAGATGGGGCTCAAGGGCGTTCCGGGGATTAACATTGACTCGACGCCGAAAGTCAGTACGCGGCACCCGCGTGCCGGTGGAAGTGCGAGCGCCCCGCGTCCGATTCGCGCATAAGAGTATTTAGTTAGCTAGATAATGGATACATCTCAGTAATTGCACCGTTTGTGGGTGGTCTCCTCCCTTCTCAGCATAAAAAGGCTTTGGATGAGTCGGGCATACGCGGAGAACTAAGCTTTAGGATTAAGCGCTTAAGCACTTGACATCGTATCTGACTACATCTGATTGTTTGAGAGCCAAACGTATGAAGTCCGAAGTTGCAAAGTGCTGCCTATGTCTTTCACGTTTAGTCCTTCGTTTGGCATTTACTGACGAGTGTAACAAAACCACGTTGCATACACAAGTGAGCGCGGAGACCCTATGTACAATCAGCCGTACCAAACGCGACTCCCGAATCATACAAATGGCAGAAAATTGTAGTGGTACACTATACATTTGATTACCTTTCTTCGTCCCTTCAGATTTCACCTGCATTCTTCATGTCCATCACGGTTTGGAAGGCGCTGATGATCACAGTCTGCGCACGCCTCCTGTCTTCCATCCATCTGTTCTTCGTCCACACGAAGTCCGAGTCCGAGTCGTCGTCCTCCGATGAGGCGTTCCCCGAGTCCGTGCCAGAGGACATGGCGAAGTCGTCCGAGGAGAGGCTACGCTCATCGAAGCGAGGTGGCGGACTGCCGGAGTCGCCAGAGAAGTGGGGGGAAGGAAGCTCATCAGCCTCTGGAGAGATCATGTACGGCGAGAGGCCTGCCCAACGGTGCGCCGGGGACACCCTCATTGACGGACTGGCGGAGTCGACAGAGAAGTGGGGCGACGGTACTTCATCAGCTTCGGGAGAGATCATGTACGGCGAAGGGCCTGTCGAACGGTGCGCCGGGAACACCCTCATTGCGTGACTGGGGGAGTCGACAGAGAAGTGGGGGGATGGTAGCTCATCAGCCTCGGGAGAGATCATGTACGGTGAGGGGCCCATCGAAACGTACGCCGGGGACACGTTCATCGACGGACTGGGGGAGTCGACAGAGAAGTGGGGCGACGGCAGTTCATCAGCTTCGGGAGAGATCATCCACGGTGGGGTACCCGTCGAACTGCGCGCCGGGGGCACCGTCACGGGACCTACGCCGACCACTACAGCATCGGCTTCAATCCCCGAGACGTCCTCAGTGTCCCAAGGCAGAGCGGCGTCGTCGTCGTAGCCCAGGATACCTGTCAAAGCACCCTCGCGCTCGTCGAGGGCGCGGCTCCAGACGGATCGAGCGAAGCGGGCATGAGTCTGAGTCTGTCCACGGTAGTGCAAGGACCGTGCTAGGTGGTAGGTGATAGAGTCAATTTCCTGTAGAATAGACACGGTTGTTAGTTGATAGTGAGAAAAAAGAAAATAGCACAGAACGCACATGGAGCCACCGCGCCGTCATTGCGTGCGTATCTCCCTCGCCCATGTTGACCAGCCGCCACTGGACACACATCCGCAGTCCAAACAGATCCTTCGCGGACAAAAGCGCGCCCCCCTTGACAAGCATGACGAACAGGGCGCGGCAGCAAATGGCCGGCGCGCGCGCCTGCTCGAGGTCCTCAGAGCTCAAGTGATGAGCAACGAACCGGAGTATGAAGGTGCAAAAGGTGTCGGCACTCATGATCCCCACGGCGGCGAGGTCTGCAATGAGTGCAGCGACGTTGATGGCGAGCTGCAGGTCCATCGAGGATTTTGCGAACACGCCGATGCCGTTATAGGTTTCGAGTTCGAAAGGGTCGTCCTAAAAGATGTCGCAGAGAAAGAATGAGTAAAAGGAGAGTGGCTGAGATTAAGTAGAGCCATACCAAGAGCCAGACTTCGTAGAATGCTTCACCGACAAGCTTCATCACTTGTTCCTTCAGCATATTACCAACAGCTGCACCGTTAGGACGCCAGTGAAGCTCGCCAATGATGTCATGCAGGAGCTGAGCGGTGCTACGGGTATGAGGACTATTCATGAGAGCGCCGTTATAAAGTCGCTTCGCCAAGTCGAAGACATAGTTGTCGGGATTGTACATGTCTAGAATCGTGGCCATTGTTTCTTCGTCGTTGTCGTGGGCTCGTCGAGTGCCCTCAATAAAGGCAGCTGACTCTACCATCCAAGTCACCAGATTGTCGACCACCTCGGTGGCCCCAGCGCGGATGAGGCGGGGGTTGGCGATCGCGCGGCCAGTCTGCAACATCTCCGTGCAGTACCCGCGAATAGTGGAATCCAGAGGAACACGGAGCTGGAGCTTGGTTGGGGACCTTTGCTCGCCCTTGTACATGACGACATCGGGAGTCGGGGACGTTGTGCGAACGGGAGCCATTGCGTTGGACCGGCGAAGGAACTCAGACAGAGAAAGCAAGCTCCTGGGTGGTGACTTTTGCGGCGCGTTCAAGGGGAGACGAGGTGAACAAGGCCAAAAGACATGAAAGTGGTTGAAGGAAAGGGAGGCGCTTTATAGGGTGGCCCCGCTTGGAACGAGTGGCTCATTGTCCCAGATAGATCAAAGTCCGACGCGAAAACGGCGCCCATTGTTCCACTGTCCACAATTTTTCGTCTTTCAAACCATAGCGTCTAGTGCGATAGGCTTGTCCTCACAGCTGCGATTTGAGCGCGAAACGCCGTTTTCGCCGCACAACGGTGTTTGCATGGTCACAAAAATGTCTGGAATGTCGTGGTGAGTACAAGCCAATAATTCAGATGCTTTATATTCACCGTTTGAATGGATTTCATACCTAATCGGCGATTCTGAAATCATCGTACAGCACGCTGAGTGCGGCTGGCCGAAGTAGATCACGATGGGACTCTTGTAAGTGCCAAGAGTCGAGATGCGCCTGTCCTTACCACTCGCTCCTGCCACTGATGATGTGTTTCTCGTAGCAGGACACGGCTTCGGATAGTGCACAACTATTCGGGTTGCGCAGAGGAGCGCGAGCCCTCGGCGAACCTTCCCAGCAAGGTGAGGCGGGGAGTTGGCGAGCCTACGCCAATTTGCTTCGCGTCCTGTTTTTCCCGGGAGAACTGAAGTCACTGAGAAGATTTGAACGCTAGGACGCAAGAACACTGTGAAGTAGGTAAGTACTTTGCATCTTACTTACTGACCATAGCGGGACAGCGCAAAGTTCAACGCGGCCGCGGAAGCAAAAGAAGCACCAATTTTGGTGCGCCGATCATCCTGGGACCTGATCGCGACTAGCGCCACTTTGCATCTCTTATATTTTCCGTCAACGTCCAAACGCCTTGCAAACGCCTGCAAACTTTTTCAAGTACCTCCCAAGACACAGGCTAGGGCATGGCTTGAAACCCCTGAAAGCATCGTATTCGAGCTCGCCGCCCAGGCCAAACGCGGCGACATGACATGCTCATCGCCATGGCATCGACATGACATGCTCATCGCCATGGCATCGCGTTCGGCAACGGTAAGTAGTACGTTCTACTCTCTGCAGCAGTATTCTATGATCGCGGATGTGAAGTACCCTCGCACGGAGGCAGGATAGGGCTGGTTCTGTATAGTCACGAAGGTGAGCGTCAGTATACTATGTATGCAGTTCTTACAACTCCAGGATATCGAACCTCGACTACCCACCTGAAACCGCCGTTGCTCGCATCAATGTATCAAGTCCACGTTTTTCTCCTCGGAACTTCTGTCTATGTCATCCTGCTCTTCGAGTGTCAAGAAACTTCTCTTTGCGCCTGGCGATACTAAGCAGCCATCATCTCTGGACCGCCTCGAATTTTCGACCATGTTGTTCCTGCTTGCCTCGCACTTGGAGCTCCTCGACGAATTCTTCCACATCTGACGCACTTCGCTCTCGAATGGGATCCTATGATGAAAGTGAAGATCAGGCCCGGTAGACAACATCCGCCTTGCTTCTGGCCTTCACATATGCATGCTCGTTGACGCCTGGGCCAGGGATACCGATCATGGCAGCTTCCTCGATAACGTGGATGTTCTCGTCGATTCAATGCTAGTCGTGATCGTCTTCAATCCTGTAAGTCGTGCAACTTTATCTGCGTCCTTCCCGAACGTTGCCCTGGCGCGATTTAGGAGGCTGCGCGAATCTGAGATCATTATTTCCGTCAGCGAGACGACCACCTATCATGTATGTTTTGTAGCAAGTGCTTGAATGAATATTCGTGCTGAACAGAACGTCTCCGATGTATTATTTGTGGCACGGCACCTGGACACACGGGATCCACGGCTACATGATATGCCTCACCGGGATTTCGCAGAGTCGTTCCTTGAGCATTCGCGACAATTCCAATTTCGCGAACTTTTTGTCTCCTCCCCGCAATAATATACCCCGGATACATGCTCGAGCGCCCCGTCTAGTAAAATCAAGAGCTCGTTGCTCGTCTTGCACTGTACTCTACATATATTGAGCAAAGGAAATAAAATTATTACTACCAAAAAGTTGCCGCCGGCAAGTCGACGACATGAATTTACATTCATTCCTAGCCTAGGAATCCTAGGTCCTCCTCCTCCCGTTTCGCCTCAAAAGCTCGCATTTTGCTCTATTTCGTCGTGGAGACTTGGTCCAAAGGGCCAGGAGCAAAAGGTATTCGGGTACGGGGAATCGAACCCCGAGCTGCCGCGAAACGCTTGAAACGAACTCGTATGAGAGGCGGCAATGTTAGCCGTTACACCATACCCGATGAAAGAACTCACGATAAATATGCTTTATGAGGAAGAAGAAAGGGTTGCGGACACTCTGGGAAGAGTGTCAGACAGCTGTCAGACACCGTGCATGCTAGAGTAGTGGGACCGCCTCGGTAGGGTCATTTATTTCTTCGGGTTTGGCTCCCCGTATCCGAACTTGGGCGGTGAATCTCAAAAGATCTGTTGCAGCGGCCGAAGGAATTTGAATGACTGACCCGATGTCGGTTCCAATCAATATAGTATGCTGCGAGACGGGGAGCGCACGCACTATATGCAGGTCGCCGGTGTCTGTCACGTTCGAAGTGCGAGGCGTGCAGCAGCATTAAGTACATCGCCCGTCGCATAGCTTAAGGGACTGTCACAGGCTCGGATACGACCATCATCAAGTGAGCGTGCCCTATGCATCGTTGAAAATTAGGCCTTGGTCGGTGATAACAGGGGATTGACTACTCACGTAGGTACTGCAATCCAATGTCGCGCCCACACGCGGCTGGGGCATCAGTAAACGTCGAGTCGTCTGAACCATCTGAAATCGTCTGTATCCAGACAGTTTCAGACCGTCAAGACAGTCAGACGGAGCTCTGAATTCAGTAGGTCCACTTTCTGAATTCAGTCAACTCAAGAGCTGACTCAGAGAGTGGATACCTGTCAGACTTTTCAGGTGTCTTTCGTCCAGGTGCATTCAGGAGGGGTTGTCCCGACTTCAGGCTTCATTTTCCAGATGAAAAAAGGAGACGAATATATATATATTGATTATAAGCAAATACAACTTGTATACTAATCAAGGAGGCGGCTATGCCGTCGCCGCTCGTAATCTCTCCTAGGCGCGAGCCCAGAAGTCAAATTGTCGTCTGTATCGCGGAGACTCACGCTCTGTACCGGCTAGGTGCAGGTACACGGCGCCGTCAATGGGCCCTAGTCAAGATCTGCGCGTTGAAATCGAGAAGATCAGAAACTTGAAACGTCAAAAGCAATTGTACCGCACCTGCTTATTTACCAAGATGCGTCCCCACGCAGTTCCACAGTCGGTCCTGCTACACTCGCGTGCAGCCCACGGTGTTGGTACGCCTGCGCATCAAACGACGTCATAGCACGGGCATTTAGCCAGTGTATGCGGTGTTGAGCGGGGACTAAGGACGCTTGACGGAAGTGTGCTGGCGGAGTTCCGAGCCCTAACTGGTACTTGGTGTTGACACGGTACCACAACTGACAAGGATAAACGCACCAAAAGAAGCTATCCCCCAACGCATGAGTCCCAGGGCGCCCAAGGTGCTACATCCAAGGCGGCTTTCAGTGCTCGGAGACGGTCCCTTGCAGTTGAGTGGGCCAGAAATGGAGCCATATACAGTAGAAACCGGAGCCTTGGGTGTCATCAAGAAAGTACATAGGCCGACTGACAGCACAGCGCAAACGTTGAAACGTTGAAGTTGAGAGGAAGGGACATGACGTGGCGCGTTGGTTCAGTTGAAGCGGAGTTTTAATTGACGCCACAGGCGCGTCGGTTGAAGTTTCCGACCTCCTCCGAGTCTCCATCGCAAACTTGAACTCGGCAGTCCTGTCTCGCTTTCGACACCGGATGCGAGTCGTATTGCTCAGCCCTGGCCACCTCTCGACCTCTCCGTGACATTCCTATTGCTTTTACCATCAAGATCTTCCACGGTCCCTCCCTTGTCCTTCAAGTTGGGTGCGCACAGCGCTATCTGCCAGCTCTCAACAGTCCGATCGCGATTGCCCGCCGCAATCGCACGCCACGGCGGTGTAACGTCCATCTGTCGCATCCTCATGTCGGCCGGTCGCATTATATAGATCCATTGCGCACGCGGAGGGATTGAAGGCCTGCTGGAAAGAGTTGTCACGGTAGACGGTGCGTTTTTTCTTAACCTCTCGTAGTTCCGCTTATATTGAAAATGTTCAGTGTGGTTGGAACTTGGCGTGCATGTACACGCCCATTTGGACTTGCAGTGCTCCAAATGTCGGGTCACAACTTAAACCAGTTTTTACATGTCAATACAGAGTTTTCAATGCATGAATTACGCGCTTGCAACCGCGTCGTAGATATTCTGTCAGACCATTCAGTGCTGCTCAGACTCGTTATCGACGGTCGCAGCAAATAGTTTTCGGCTTCAAATATCTGAATTCTGATCTTTGAAGCTTGAAGACTCTGACTCTCGTTTCGTTCCCTGAGTTTGTTGGAGTCTCTGAGTGAGCATATGAACCTTCTGAACTCGGGCTTCGTCAGACCGCTCAGGCATTTCCAGGTGGTCAGACTGGTCCAGAGAAATTGACATTTCCTGATGGGGTGGATGGTGCAGCAGCACAAAGTCAGCCCCAATTCCTTCCACTCTGTCAGCCCGGGCACCTCGATCCCCTATGCTTGTACACGACTCAACTAACCAGGATCAGATACTTACCTAAGACAAGCATTGTTCAGGTAGAGAGTGGGCGTCCTGTGCTGCGCGACACGTAAGGTCAGCGGCGAGACTGAAAACAATCATGATGAAGGTACGTCACGTCGAATTTTACGATAACTGCTTTGCCCGCGTCGCTTCGTACTCGTTGAAGGTTGGGATGCTGATACACCGACCGTTACGCACTTGAAAATGAGCGAACGTACCATATTTACTGCAGGTCGCCGGTGTTCGTGGCGTTCGAGGTACGGGGCTGGTAACAGCATGTATAGTTTGTCGCAGAATATGAGGGCCTACAAGCTCGGAGCCGGCCATCATCGTTATTGACGAGCATGCCATATTTTCCAAACGTCAGTCCTTGGTCATTGAAAGGAGAAGGTAGATGTCCCACACTGCAATGCCACGCCTAAACGCGACTGGGGGTGGCGTGTATAATATATATACTATACTCGCGGACAAAATAAGTAATGAGAATGTGTAATTTGTCGCTTACTGGGCTCAATCCAACTCATGTAGACAAAACTTGTGCTACTGTATCTAGGGTGTCCCCAGAGCATTGTATTCATCACATCTGCAAATTGGTCTGTGAAACAATGGTGCTGCAACAGGGCGAGGAAAAATAACCCCCAAAACTAACTCAGCCGGGAAAATTATGGTATGTCTACTTCTTGCTTAGTGTCATGGAGTAGGGCAATATATGTTCATTCATGGAGGAAAAGATATCACTTGTAGGGCTTTTGAGGGTGCTATAGAGGCACGAAGTTCGCGGTATGAAAGGCAAAATTCCCATTTTTAGTAATTTAGTTACTATTTTTGGCAACTCCTCATCATTTTCTCGTTAAAATGGTCAACTTTGCGCCTCTCTAGCAGCCCCAAACACCCACCGATTGCCACAATTCCTGCTATAAATCAGCATGTATTGACCTACTCTTGAGCGCTGTGAAGGACCTGGATAGCATATAATTTTTTTCTTAGAGTTTAAAAGTTTGATTTTTTTTGGCTCCTCCTCCTTGCCCTGCACCACTGTAGTGATAGCACTGAATGTTCTGCAAACATGATACTGCAGACACTCTAGAGAGCCTCTAGACACTATAGCACAAGATGTGTTGATATGTACAGGACTGAGTCCTGTAAACCACAAATTACACATTCTCATTACTTATTTTGTCCGCGAGTATTGTGCGAATGTACAGAAACTGTCAAGCGCAGTTCCCTCGACCCTCCCGGATCAAGCACCTAGAATTTCTGCTTGGTATTCCTCCACACATACGGCTCAAATAATCAGAGCATGTTAAGTCTCGTTGAAATGGAGAATCGGCGTTTCCGGCGCGACAAATACGGTCAGCGAGCGCGACACCGAAGAGACATGGATGATATAGGTACGTCACGTCAAATCCTACAGAGACTCCCTTCTACGCACAGCAGTTTGATGGTAGAGTCCCAGTACGCCGATCGTGACGCGGTTGAATCCGTCCAAGTTGGCACGTTGACGCGTCAAGGCAACATTGATGCTGTTCAATGCTACGCGGTAGAGAAAATTTCAATCCTATACGAGCCTCGGCTCAAAGAGTTACAAAAGGCTGTAGAGTGGTGTGACGGTTTTTCGCAGAGAATGAATAGAAAGCATTGACAGAACATGCGTAAGTACTGTATGTAGTGAACTTGTTTTCTTGTACAAAAAAACATAGCATAACGCGACCATGTCACATATCACATGTCACATGTCTGTGACCGTTGGCGCACATCAGCGCCCACTGGCAAGTTGCTGGTAAGCGCCCACGTCCAAGATCCCAACAAGTCGACAAATGAGTGGGAACTTCAAGTCGAAGGTTTCGTATCTGCTCGTTGTGGCGAGCGACGACGAGCTCGACGCGTACGACGATGTCGACCAAGACAGTTTCGGCGCGTATGGCGTCCAAACAGCGGCTAGCCACGAAACCGCGGAAATCTCTGCATCCCGTCGACACCAATCTCCACTCATACGACCGCACTGACCCTTTTGCGGCGTTCAATGTCCTGCTCAAGCTCCTAGGGACACTACCCTCGCGCATCGGAGGATGCCAGTACAAGCTCTCTCCAGATGAGCACAAATTGTGCATGGGCCTGCTCACGATCGTCGAGCCCTTTGTCAGCTTGGCGCCCTCCAAACGCACCCTCACGCGCCAGCCCGCCGAAATCCTCGATGCGATAACGTTCTTCGTCGACTCCAAGCGTGATCTGCTTAGCCTCGCGCTCAGCTGCCGTAGAATGCACGCGATTGTGTGCCCGCGACACATGGACTACCGTGTGGTGCGCGCAAAGGCGAGCAACGTCGCGGTTTGGAACCACCTTATCGTGCACCGCTCGCTCGCGCGCAACGTGCGGGTCCTCGAGGTGCTCGACGAACGCTCGACCGAGGCGCCTGTGGTGCCGAAGGGGATCGTCGCTAGCGACACCGATCTGGAGAGTACAGACGATGAGCTCACGATGCATTCGAAGCAGGAACGGTTCTTGGTTTCTGCCCTCGGGAGGATGTCCGCACTGCAGTCGTTCACTTGGTCGTGCAACCACTCACCGATTTCGATCGACGATGTGTGGCCGACGCTCCT